TGTGTGTGTGTGTGTGTGTGTGTGTGTGTGTGTGTGTGTGTGTGTGTGTGTATTTTAGCAGGATGAAGCAGACGAAGGAGTCCCTCAGAGCCAGACTGGGCCCGGCTCGACCAGCAGAGAGTCTGACCAGGAAAGAAATCGCTCTGTGAGTTCATCCTCAGTGTCACTGGGTGGATTTTAACACAGGCACCACCACTTTAATCACCATTTTATCATATTTGATAATGTCTCTGGTGGCAGTAGTGCGCACTCATAGGGATCATTTTATGCGAGCGCGCTCAGAGCCTGCAGCTGAGAGCCTGCAGCTGAGAGCCCAGCTTAGTAGTGAAAGTTTATAACCACCATCGTCGTCCCTGTGATCTCTGACTGTGGTTTGATATTTTGTGGAGTAAGTCCAAATCACTTTTATCTATATAACGCCACATCACAACAACAGTTGCCTCAAGGCGCTTATTGTGAGGTAAAGACCCTACAATAATACAGCTAACACAAAGAAAACCATAGCACAGCTCTCAGGTGTACAGGTGCCAGTCAGCAGTTAGTTTAAGGAGTTAGAGATGTACTGCTCAGCAATCGTGACTGTGAAATCTGAGTGGTGTGAGCGCCCCCTGCTGCAAAGAGAAGGGCTGCCGACTGACTTTTCTCCTGTGACACGCCCACACTGAGCTGCCTAACATGGTCTTCCTCCTCTCTCACATCTGTAATCTTTACTCCTCCTCCTCCGCCTCTCACATCAGGTTCAGAAGCAGTCCGAAGCAGAGCATCTGTGTGCGGCTGCTGCAGGAAGGCTTCCACAGGTATCTGTTTCTCCATCAGCAAGATAAATGTTTAATGTCTGACTCAAAAACAAGATTCTGCAGTTGCGGGCTGATCGTTGCAGTTTTGCTGCTGTACAAAAACAAAATTACCGTCAGTGTGATCAAACACTCACAGACATGAAATACATGTTTTTTATAATGAAGAACTGATTGTCCATCAGACATGTAACACATTTCGTTATTTCACACAGGACCCAACCAACACTGCTTGTTTCCTATTTTCCTACAGCACCCAAACGCCTCAGAGCCAGCTGTTTTCCACTGTACAGTGATGTTAAATATCTAGCTGAGCTTTTCCTTCATGCCATCAACACTTTCTGAGTTAGAGACCCCCAAACTGCACAGAGTGGCACTTTTTAAGCCATCTTATTTTGACAGCAGCTCTGAGCTCTCTTAAGTTTGTTAGTGCTGGAGACAGGTGTGTGAGATTTTCAGGCTTTGTTAAAATCTGCAACCAAAGATAAAACCTTCTCATGGTGTACGTCTCAGTTTCAACAGCAACACTGCATTCATTTAATGTCTATGACACAGGGGGAAAGAGCCGGTACTCTGGAGAAACCTTCAAAATGCATTTTATGTTTTGTTTCTCCCCCACATGTTGATACCAGACTCATCTCACTGCTGTGATTCCTCCCGTGTTATATTGAATCTCTGTTTGACGGTTTGTGGCTGATGCAGGCGCGGTGAGCATTTGAAGTTATTGCTATCAAAGACAATCCGACTTGGAGTAATTACTGGCTGCAGCAAACTCCAGTTTCCCTTTGACAGGATCATGAGAAATAGACTGTACAACAAACATTATAAATAAAAAAGAATTCATGGAAGATGGAGGCTTAGCTTCGGTGCAGCACATTTCTAACAAACTGGTGCTCTGACGTGCTTTTCCCAGGTGGTCATTCCAGTTTACACAAAGTTAAAAAGATCCCCCAAAAATGTCTTTCTGTCATTCAGGTCGTTCTCTGAGCTCGTCTCTCTGCTGCGCTCTGATCAGGACTGGAGGGCGACGGCTGAACCGGGATCACTCAGGCTTCGTGCTCCTCCTCTGGTGGAACAAAGACACAAAATGGAGACCATTAGCCAGCACCTGAGCTTGGCTGAGGAGGCTGAAAGGACCGGTACACACACACACGCACACAGAGCCTCGATTCAATCCTTCTGATTCCAGTGAGGCTTCATTTAGTGATTAGATCAGTGTGTTTGTGTGTCAGTGACATAATGAGTGTAAGGTTATTGTTGGTAGAACACAGAACAAGACACATGAACCACATGGTTCAGGACCAGGTGACTTCTGTTGCAGGTATCTGGTCCACCGTCTGCGAGGAGCGTCTCCTTTTGGGTCGGTTCTTCTCAGACCGCGAGGACCTCTGGCTCCGCTTCTACTTCTACCACAGCTGTACTGACAGAGAGAAAGGGAGGTTCTCCAGAGCAGCCACCGAGGCCCGGGCCTGCCTGACTGAGCTGTACCTGGATCGAGGTGCACACACCGAGTATAGTGACAGTGAATGATCAGAATCACAGCACTTTATTAATCCCTGAGGAAAGCATGTGGTCACAGTTGCTCCAAGACAGTAGAAACAGTAACTGACTAATCTGAATTACTAACGATGACAGTGAATAACGAAACTCTCTGACTGTCTGCTCTTAGCCTGTCTTAACGTCCAAGCAGCCATTCAGCCTCAAACTTGGCTGGTTTATTTCTGGTGAGCGCAGTGCCAAGGTCGAGGTGATTTAGATGAGCAGCACTAAAAACTGCGGCCAGTAAAACCTTGAATCACATTCAGATTAAAAGAAAGTCAAAGCTGAACATGAAGTTTTGTTTTCTTCTGTGTTTCATTTTTATGTGAGACTGAGTATCACCAACAATAAGACCTTATTTAACTTGCATTTGCAGTGGAAGGTGTGGCTTCTCCTTTCAGTTTGATCCTGAAACGTTCATTGTAAAAATTAATCATAATTACAAACTTAAACATTTGAATTGTAAAATACCAGCCAACCTTGCAGTCCGTCTGTAATACGTTTTAGCACCACTGTTGCCCGCACTGTGGGAGTGTCTAGTGCTCTGCTCTGTGTGTAAGTGGAGATCCACAGATGCACACACAGGCATACTTGTCCTTCACTGACACTGATGCATTAGTCTCTTACCTAAAGAGGGCAGTTGTGTGTTGGTCCTTTGTGAGTGTTGTAGCTGTGTAGTGTCACCAGGGGGCAGTGTTGAAAAGATAAGATCCCCTCTTGCTTGTGCTGTTATTGGTCCTCGTGATAAATTACAACATACAACACCCCAGCCGTCGGACATCCCTCTATGAGCAAGCATTTGGAGACGGTGGGAAGAAAAAACTCCCTTTTAACATGAAAAAACCTCCGGCAGAGGAAGCTTCAGCCATCTCCTGGTTGGGGGTGACGAGAAGAAGACAAGACAAAGAACACACTGTGGAATAAAGCCTGAGATTAAAAATAACTCTAACTCAAATTAATAATTTATTGTGACGGGGCGGTGCAGAGAAGACAAGAAAGATGGAAGACCGACCTGAATGCAGCCCTCTGTGTTAGTCTTATGGCGTATAGGTCACCTGATTGACCCTGTGAGCTACATCAGCACTCAAAAAATGAAACATTTCTTCACTCAGATGATCTAAAACTCAAGCTTGTTCCCTCAAAACCAGCTACATGTTTGGTATTTTTATTTGATTTAGTTGTTTTGTTGCTGTTTTTTCTCTTTATTTTCCTGTGACGGTTGAACTCATGTTGCACCCACTCTTATAAAAATGCCACCTCTCTCAGGTGAGCTGGAGGAGGCGAGGCAGCAGGGAGAGCTATGCCGCAAACAGGCGGAGGACGGCGGCTGGCTGGACTCAGACGGTCGGCCCCTGAAGCTCCGGGCATGCCGGGATCTGTGGAAGATCTACAGAGAGCTCGCGGAGGCGCCGCTGGCCGCCGAGGACCACAAGAAGGCCCTGACGCTGCTTCACGAGGGCAACAGCAGGGCCGCGGAGTGTAGGTGGAACCAGGGCTAAAAACACAGTGAGAGGCAGCGCATCGGAGTAATCTATGCACGGAAACACACACATGTGTAACATTTAGATTAAAAATAGACCGAGGAGGAGGTGTTTGTGCTGAGAGGATCACAGTGAAGGCAGAAGCAGAGAAATATTCAGCAAAACAACGAGTACCACGTTTTCAGAGGGGGTTAAGAACTGGTCCTGACAGCTACAGAGTTTGAAATGTTTATTCTTCTGAAGAAGGAGGAGATGTGTCTGTTTATTTATTCTGTTTATTAAAATAAATTACAGGTTTTTTTTAACCATAATCCAAGCGAAAGCCTCAACTCAGTCGCCAAAAAGAATTTAATTTGTGATACATCAGAAGAATCGAGCCGAGACACTATATATAGCATATATATCAATACTATAAAGAGTTCATTTACGTTACGTTCATTTAGTCCAGTTTGTTATTCGCCTCTAAACCAGCCTGTAGTGCTGTTATCCATCTAAATCAGGGGTGCAAACATAACATAAACAAAACTGGCCCACAAAAGACTCCACTTTGGCCCCACTGGACAGTTTTAGAAAACACAAAGGAAGGCTTGAAGTTTGGATTTTTAACTGCGTTTTCATAAGTTTTACAGCTTTATGTTTATTGTTTATTTATTGATATTGATGTCTCCCATTCGTGCTACAACAAAGAAATTAACAAATATATAATTTATGTTGAAAGCTTTGTGGTTCGATATAAACGTTAATAACACCACACTCAGTGACCTAAAGGTCAAAGGTCAGAAAGGTCTGAAAATCTTGTGAATGCGAGACAAGTATTTTCAGTTGATACCATGGGTGTACCTACTACAAGGTTGAGGGTTATTGCTGGGCATTTGATAAACAAACATCTATGATTATTATTATTTTTAAAGTTTCTTTTTACAAAAATCCTGATGATATTACTTTGAAAATCACAGGAAGAACTTTGAATTCGAAAACTAAAACCTATATATGGATAAATTCCTCAATAGAAGTCAGGCCTGCTAAACAGACATCAGATCAACTCTGCTTAAAAGATCCTTTAAAGTGAAGCTTTCATATGATCACAGAAGATTAGTGTTTATAACGTGGTTTTTATTTTTACGTCTGTTTCAGCTGAAGACAAACACATGAAGGGGGAGGCGGCTTTCCAAGTAGGCCTGGCCTATCAGAGAGCAGGAGACCATAGCACAGCCAAAAAGGTACCAAAGATTGTGTTTGACTCTGCTGAAGATATTACCCTTTGAACAGCTGGTCAGTAAAGTTTTAACAGCTGTTACTCAAAGACGTGAACAAAGTGTCATAAACGTTGGCGCAAAAGGTAAAGAAAATCGAGGGCTCGGGGAGAGAGGGGAAAACACGACTTGATAAAAAGGAGGACAGGATGATTTATACCCTGATGAGGAAGAGGAGAGAGCAGAACAAACAAGCTGGGAATCAGCAAGACAGGAAGTAAAACTCACAAAGGACAGTGAAGAAAATGGACTTTCAAAGTAAAATAGGAAGAAAGCAAATGCAAACATTAATCAGAAAAGAAGAGGGACTAAACAGTAACAGAGAAAAAAGGGAACACAGGAGGTTAATGAGATTAAGGGTGGTTTCCAGGAAGTCGGAACTTCTAAGTTCCCAGTCAGAATTTTCATAGGCAGACACCGAGCATTCTCCATCCACGAACAAGCTGCAGCTGCGTTTTTTAAGTGCAAAAACACAAATATTATGCTGTATTACTAATGATGCATGAGTGGCTGTGTTTACTAACTAGAAAAGCAAATCCAGTTTTTCACGCTTTTCCAGCTTTCCTGCTGGAATACAATAACTCAGGAGGGATGTTACTCCTGACGTCTCACACGCGGCTTTGAAGTAAATGGAATAAGACTGAAACCAGGGAGACAGATTAAGAGGTGTTAATAGTAAAACCCAAGAACAGAAAATCAAACTCAAAAACACAGAACCCGAGGGAAAAGGCAGTTTAGGTGGGACTATTTTAGGCTGCGGATGAATCCACATGTGTGTGGTGTAGGCAACAAGTCACACAAAAGAGCCACTTACTGTGTTTTTAACAGATTTCAGTGGAGCCCCATTTCATACGCACATCCACCCAATTCAACTCTGTGTGTGTGTGTGTGTGTGTGTGTGTGTGTGTGTGTGTGTGTGTGTGTGTGTGT